CACCTTTCTCAGTTTTGTTTTAATATATTTATTTGCTATTTTGGATCTTAGTTGTGTGATGAAAAAGTGGCAATGGGCTTAGTTGCTCCTTGGCATATGGGGTCTTCGTTCCCCAACCAGGGACTGAACCTGTGTCCCCTACTTTGGCATGCGGATTCCTGTCCAGTGTGCCACCAGAGAAGTCCCCTTTCTCAGTTTTCACAGATTGGGGATTTAAGTAACAAAGTTAATTTCCTCAGCATGCTTCATTTAATGGTTGGTTAATTGCAGAAGGATGAGTTTATTCCCATTCTTTCCAAATGTTTTACAAAAACATTTATTTAAAGTCAGTCAAACATACAAACAAAAAAACTAGGTCACATAGAAAATTCCAAGTTCTCCAAAGTGTGACTACACTCATCTTGAACCACAGTGAAGTTGAAAGGTTGGGCATGACTTTTCATCCTTACAGTCATGGATTTTTACCAGCTTGTGTGCTGGGCCTGGTGAAGGGGTGATGGCTTCTAGCAACAGATACAGCAGGCAGGATAAATGCCAGCTGGTTTCACTTCTCAAGAGTCTACTCCTTTTAAAAGTAGTTTCTGGTTTATTGGGTCATCTGACTTTTATGGCCTCTTGCTTAATAGATGGGAGGCAGGTAGTCTGCATCATTTGCCAAAAGTTACACACAAGCACAGATGGGCACAGTAAAGGACAGGAATGGTATAGACCTAACAGAAGCAGAAGATATTAAGAAGAGGTGGCAACAGCAATCAGGGCAGAAAAAGAAGTAAAAGGAATTCAGATAGGAAAAGAAGAAGTGAAACTCTCTCTGTTTGCAGATGACATGATCCTCTACATAGAAAACCCTAAAGACTCTACCAGAAAATTACTAGAGCTAATCAATGAATACAGTAAAGTTGCAGGATATAAAATTAACACACAGAAATCTCTTGCATTCCTATACACTAACAATGAGAAAACAGAAAGAGAAATTAAGGAAACAATACCATTCACCATTGCAACAAAAAGAATAAAATACTTAGGAGTATATCTACCTAAAGAAACAAAAGACCTATACATAGAAAACTATAAAACACTGATGAAAGAAATCAAAGAGGACACAAACAGATGGAGAAATATACCGTGTTCATGGATTGGAAGAATCAATATTGTCAAAATGGCTAT